AAGCCACAACTTCCATGGTTGCCTGCTCTCCCGCGCTGCAGCCGTTGAAGCTGCAGGGAGCCTTAGCGGGGAGAAGAGCGGAGTTCCCCGTTAGTACCCCTGGTGTCGCTGGCCAAGTGGTCTTTGTCACGGTCACCGCAGCTGCCTCCCCGCTGCTGCTTCGCAGCAGTAGAAATAGCCGAGTTCGTACGCGGGCGTTCGTCCCCCCGGGCCCTGAGCGGGTGAAGCGCTAGCCCCCCGCGCGGCACAGGCCGGGGCGTCCCAGGCAGGCGCTCGGTTCCTTATCTCTTCTGGCTCTGCGCCCCCCCGCTGCTCTGAGCGTCGCCGGAGCCGGTAACTCGCGGGTCAGGGCAGCGGCTGCCGGAGCTGCGCGGCCCTTCGGCACGCCCTCGCCAAAGCGGAGGCTCCCGGCTTTGCCCTGCGCGCTCCCCCAGCCAGGCTTCAGAGTCAGGTGTGCCAAAGAAGCGACGTCTCTTCGTTCCAGTGCGGAGGCTGCTTTAGCTTACGCTGCTGCCCCCAGGCTCTGCTTAAGAGGCAAACCCAGCCTTAGCGCTGGGGCCGCGGCTCTGGAGGAAGGGACCCTCTCGCCGCTCGGTTTCCCTCGCCGGCCGCGCGTCGCCGGCCGCTTTCCCGCTCCCCGGAGAGCGGAGCAGGGACTAGATGGACGAGCAGGGACTAGATGGCGCAGTCGGACCGGGCTGGGCAGCAGCCCTTCCTCAGCCGAGCGCCCTTTCTCCCGCTCCTTGGGCGGCCGGAGGCTCTACGCGCCCGTAACCTCCGCTGGGGCGGCCCTCCTGCGCCCTTCCCCTGCTGCGACGAGCCGGCCGCTGCGAGGCTGCAGCGGAGCAGCGGCTCTGCTCGGCGCCCCTTCTCTGGCCGGCTCTTGCTAGGCTTGTCTGTGGCCCCTCTCTTGGCTGCGTGCATGCAGCGGGCTTCCCCGTGGCTCGGTGGGGCCTCGGGAGAGGGAGGCAGGCCTGCTGGAGCGGAGCGAATCCACGGCGAGGGCAGGGTATTCCCAAAGGGATCTACCGGCATCCCCCTTGAGCTGAAACGTGGCTTTCCTGCCGGGAAGAGCGAAGGGCTGCCCTTTCCTTCCGAGGCTGGCAGCAGCACGCAAGCGGCCGAAACGAACCCGTGTCCCCTAAGCCCTGAAGAGCCGGCGATGCGACGGGCACGGGCAGCGTGTCCGTGGCGCGCTTCTCCCCGGTTGCTTCTGAGCACTGCGGCAAGCGTTCTTCCTTCCCGTTTACTCTGGATTATCTAACGCTCCCTGTTTTCGGAGTACTCCCATCAGTCTCTTATAAAATGTGCTCCTGCTCGTTGCAGATACTTGGCAAATAGGTCAAAAAGGCACACTCTGGCAATGACCAACCCTACAGCTGAAATCCCTCCAGACTTGCAGAGGCAGCTAGGACAGCAGTCCTTCCGACCCCGGGCTTGGGCTCCACACCTGGTACCCGATCAGCACCGGTGAGTAATGGCACCGGCCGTTCGGGCAGCTTTGCGCCAGGGAACCCGCTCAGACGTCGTCTGGAACGGAGCACTGAGGACATCCCGCTTGGCAGGGAGGGGTGAGGAGGAGGAGCGAGCGCAGAGAGCAGACCCCCCAGCGCAGAGGGCGCCTGACCGCGCCGGCGCCGCCGGGGTGCCGCGCCGGCGCCGGCTCCGTGCCTGCGGGTGCAAGCAAGGCAGGGGCAGGAATCGGCTGGCTCTTCCCCTCCAGGCCCCTCCGGTTTGGGCTGGGGCTGACGTGCCAGAGTGGCTGCCGTCACCTAAGGGCTGGGAATAAGCCGTTCGTTTTGGAGGAGAGCTTTTCCCTGTTGTAAGGGCAGGCGTCAAGCTAGCGGTAGGGAGCGGATTTTCTACAGCGCGTTTCTGGAGGCAGAGGCAGGCAAAAGACCGCACCGGGAGTCATCAGCGCCAGAGCTTAAAAAGCTCACTGTTCTGCACCAGAGTTGTGTGTTTTGACTGCAAAGTCTCTTTGCAAAGCTCCTCAAGAGTCCTGTTATTTCTGATCTGAACCCCCGACGGAATGACGCGGGGAAAGGAGGCTGGGGCGGGGAGAAAGAAACCGCAGCGTCTGGGAAAGAGGGGAGCCCCTGCAGACGGGATCCGACCGCGCTCGGATGGCGCGGGCGGGGCGCTCCTGACGGCGAGGGGTGGCAGCGTGGCGCGGCGGCCTTGCCCCAGCGGCAAACCCGAGGCGCTGCTGAGAAGGCGGTCGCCTGCCGGGCCGCATTGGCGCTCGCGTTCGGTCTGCCGGCCGGCTCCCGCTGGCAAGCTTGACAGAGCACTTTTTATCGTAGCCAGCTACCTGCTGAGCCGAGCACTGATGTAATCAGCAGAGACAGGTGAACTCTGAGCAGACTGAGCCAGTGCTAGTGCCACGCTGGAACTCCGGAAAGCCGAGATAAGCACCTCCGTACCCTGGAGTTACTCCTTCGCAGGGTGCCGGGGGGGATGGGAAGAGC